AATAGAGAGATAACATGCCTAGGGAGTTAGAGAGTACATTGAGCGGCAAACTGTACTCTCGACCAAAAGATCTGCTTGGACATTACCGAAGCTGTATTATAAATGGACACTCCACTGGCCAAAGGATACTGTCTTGCCACTGTAGTAACTGCTTGGAGAGTATTATTATTATCCTGCCGGACGTTGACCTTTATAGCAAGCACTCAGTGCGCGCAAACAAAAGTCTTAAATACTTATAATGGTACATGGACAATTGTTTTCGTCAGTATCTACGGAAATATTATTCAAAAAAGGGTGCCAAGTTGTAGAAAGACTTATCAATAAGTGAAAATATACTAAACAGGTGGTCAATTGATAAGATAGAGAGGGCTATTATAAAAGTACTGTGCTCTTGCTGTACTTAAGTAAGGTTCACTGGTTTTCGACTATTTGCCGAATCATGTTTTGCTTGCGGGCGTTCAAATACAATGTCTGGAACTCAATTCTTGTGGGCATGTCGGTGTGTTTTTGGTAAACAAAGGATCAAAATGTTTGCTGTCGAGATCTTGTAGGAAGTGAACTTTGTTTCACTTTCCTTTTTTTCTTTGAAAGAAAATGTTTTGCTTGGAGGCTTTACAATGCAATTTGTGGAACTCAATTTTTGTCAGCATGTTTATCTATCTTGGGTAAACAAATAAAATAATCAGAATTTTAGCTCTCTAAACCTACTTTTAGGGATAGAACTTTGTTTCAGTTTTTTCTTTGAAGGATAATGTTTTCCTTGGAGGCGTTCAAATACAATTTGTGGAACTCAATTTATGTCGGCATGTTCATCTATTTTGAGTAAACAAAGGATCAGAATGTTTACTTTCTAGATCTACCTGTACTTATAGGGAATAGACTTGTTTTGCTTCAAGGCGTACAAATACAGTATGGGGAACTGTACTGTTGTCGGCACATTCATAATCTATTGTGGGTAAACAAAGAATAATGTTCAATTCAAATTAAAATTTCAATTAAAGTCTTCTTAGAAGTGGGCTTTAATTTGTCGCAGTTCTTTTTCTTTTTCTTTGAAAGATAATATATTGGTAGCAGATGGATATAGTGTGAAAAGTCGGGACTCATTGAATTTTCTCTCCTATCTTTCCAGGTCCAGTGTGTACGCGGCAATACCGTAACAGCTCAAACAAGAACAACTTCCCCAACACAAACTCCGACGCAAACTGATGCTGATACGCAAACAATGTACAGTACCGTAGTTGTGGACTCAACTGTCATAATTATAACCGATTCCAGTGTTGACGTTTGCAACAGTACTTTGAAATGTTCAGGGGAGAAACAATACTGTAAAATGGAAAATCAAAGCGATTCGGGAATTTGCGAACCTTGTCATGACAGTTGTGAGACCTGTTCTGGCCCTGGGACTATGGACTGCACAAAATGTGATCTAGATTCTACTAGCTTTATTGTGCAACACGTTGTTTACGACAGCGAAACAACGACACCTACCGGAACAAGTGCGCAAATGCAGACAACGACTGAAACAACGACGACCCAAACAACGACTCGTATGATGACCACTCATTTGACAAGGACGTATATGTTTACGTCACGATCCACTGACGTCACAACTGCTATTGCGTCATCGCATACGTCACGTTCTCCTGATGACGTCACTACTACTATGACGTCATCGTCAACGCATCCAAACGCTAGTCCGACGGCCGCCGCATCAGAAAAACCGCATCCAAACTACTCCATCACACTAGAATGTGTGTCAGATCAACCATGCCCAGGAGACTTAAAACTGCCTTTCCTCAGTTCTAAAATATGCTGCCACGCAGAATGCGTAGAGAAGGGGTGTTACGGTAGCTCACCTAGCGACTGTTGCCATGGCAACTGTAAAAACGGTTGCTATGGCGACGGGAGTGGGCAATGCTGTCCGACGAATTGCGATCCGAAGTATGGATGCTATCACGATGGTGATAGTGTAAAGTGTCGTATGCCGTTGAAAAATGAACCACCGACGTTAACGGCACTTCACTATGGACTGATAGGTACAGGCGGCGGCATTGTAATAATGGTTGTTGGTATCGCAACGGTGTTCTGCTGTGTCAGAAGAAGGGGATCCGCGAGACCACGGGGGGAGTCCGACGGAGGGGAGGAAAACATTGAGGTGAGACCATCGTCTTTTCTTTAACTTTTTATTTTTTTTAAATTTTACCAAGGCCACACCGACTTCATTTTATGGATGACATCCTCTAAAGACCCCCAAACTAGTGCGTGCGGGTTAATAAAAAAAATTCCAAAAATAGAAAATGCTGCTAAACCACAGGAATGGGCAAATAATAGGGCAAATAATAACGTGTTTTTTCTTCTTTCTTTTCCATGACGACAGATGAGAAAGAAGAAAAGATCCAAGAAAAGGGTAAGAATATTTTGTTATCTTTGCTGTAATTGTTTTATGGTCAACACCTCTTCTAGTGTATTTACTTTGCACCCAATGATTGTTTATACAATATTTTGTTTTGTTTTTCTTTACAGAAAAGAAACAGCTATGTTCCTGGACCAAACAGTGTGAGAGAGGTAAGGTATTATGTTTCTTTTCTCTTTATTCAATTTTCTCTTTACTGAATCCAATTCATTCATCTCATTCATTCACCAACAAACCAACCAACCAACCAACCAACGACCAATTAACCAACCAATTAACCAACCAACCAACCAACATAACATTGATTGAACTTTATTTATTTGCATCATAGTTGAATCAGGAGGGACCGTATGCAAATGAGGAGTACACAGACCCCTCTGGATTGGCCAACCCGTCCCACCAACCAGACGACACGTACGATGACGTCAATCCGGAATCCGTATACGTCGAGCCACAACCGGATCAGTTCAACAATCCGGAATCGACGAATGACGACATCTACGATCAGCCGCCTCCGGAAGAATTGAACCGGCACCAGGGCGCGACCAACTACGGTTACCATGACGACGGCCCGGTCTACGGGAACGATCCGGATCAGGTTTCCGGAGAACAGTATCCGGTTTCCGGAGAACAGTATCCGGTCTACGGGAACGAGCCGGATCAGGTTTCCGGAGAACAGTATCCGGTTTCAACAGGACAGTATCCGGTTCCCGGAGAACAGTATCCGGTCTACGGGAACGAAACGGATCAGGTTTCAGGAGAACAGTATCCGGTTTCAACAGAACAGTATCCTGTTTCCGGAGAACACTATCCGGTTTCCACCGACCAATCCGGATTCGCGGCCGCCGATGAACCTGTCTACCAAAATTACAACCCAAATTTAAATGCAGCACAACAAGTACAAGACGACCTACCGATATATGAGAATCAGAACTTCCCGCAACCTGAACACCAGGACTTGCCCGTGTACTACGACTACACGACGCAGCATCATCCGGACGCAACGGAATCCGGATTCCCTCCTCCACCTCCGGATGATGAGGAGGAACCGCTCCGGTCCATCGACAGTATGCCCTCTCTCCCCCCTCCTCAACCCCCGGAAGATCTACCGGATCTCCCCCCACCGCCGCCCCCTGAGGAGGACATGTTCTATGCGGAGACAGAAATTCCCCCTACACAGCCTTCTCTGCCCCCGATACCGTCTCCGAAACCCCCAGCACAGCCCCAGTCCGCCAGAGGGAAGAAGAAGACCAGAAGAGGCCCGCCGCCGCCCCCGTCCGGGCCCCGGCCGGACTCCGCCAGGAGAGTACAGAGACCGCCACGTAAGTAGTCATTGAAAAAAAAGAGTGCGTTTATCGTGAATGTCTCTCTTTCTCTCGCTGTCTGTCTTTGTCTCTCTGTATAATCTGTTACTCTCTCAACTCTCTCTCTCTCTGTCTGTATCTCTATATATTGGCCTCTATCATCTCTCCCTCTGTCTCTCTGTGTGTCTCTCTCTCTCTGTCTCTCTATCTAGGTTTCTCTCTGTCTCGCGATCTCTCTATCTCTATCTTTCTGTCTCTATCTAGGTCTCTGTCTCTCTGTCTCTGTCTTTCTCTCTGTCTCTTTCTTTCTCTGTCTCCCTCTGTCTCTCGATCTCTTTCTGTTTCTCCTTTTTTCTCTCTCCCTGTCTCATTGACTCCCTATCTATCATATGATTGCTTCCTTCCCTACTCTCTTGCTCTTTCAAAATTTCTTTCTTTGCCTCTTTCCATTTTCCATTCTCTATCAACTTCAACCCGGTCTCAATTATGTTTTACAGTGTAGTTTGTGTACATTCTGTATGTATTAGATAAAACTACAAGATTAACAGTATTATTTGTTTGTGTGTTTGTTTGTTTTGCATAACTGGTAAACCACATTTCGTGTAATCCTAATCCATTACAGAAAGTACCAGCAATGTTTGTGTGATAACAAACGTTCTGTTGCCCTTTTCTTCACGGGTTGTCAGAAGACAACCGGAACCAGAACCGGATGTGTATGGGTACGAGAACGACCAGGGCCAAGTCTACGGTTACGACAACTAGTGAAAAATCGCCCCCTATCGCCCATTCTCATGTATGCAATGCTTGGTCACAAACATAAAGATTCCGTATTAACTAAACAAAAAAGGAAGAATTGATATACTATAGCATAGAAACATTGTGAATATTTCTTTAGTTGCTTGTATAAGACTATTTACCACAATGTGGAAGAGAGGGCAAAACAAGTGTTTCACATTAATACATTCTACATAAATTTGCCCTCACATATTCATACTTGTACTAGTACATATGTAACTCAGGATTTTATATGTACCCACACGAAAAAAAGGTTTTTAGCCAAAAAAAAACTACAATTTGTACATGTACCATTTATATTACTTGTAGTTACTACCAATCCCTAATTAATGTACTGTATCCAGCATTTAGACTAAACATTAGTTTTCAGTCTATTATAATATGTAAACATTAGTCGAAATACAACAAGTGTAAGACATAGCAAGTTTAAGACATAGTATTAGATTTTTTTGCCTCAATAGGCGATTTTTCATATACCTTTTTTATATTTTATATTCTATGTGGAAGAGTGAGTTTTTAAGTTGACACTCTATAAATGAATATTAAAGGTGGAAATATATGCTGTATACCTTAAAAGGATAAACAGACTGAACGGAAAAGAAAGAAATATCAGAATATCTCTTAAAAGAAATGTCAGAATATTTCTGATACACGCATTAATTGTGAATTGTATAACTACTTAATCATCGTTACTATAAAGAAATACAAAAGGAATACAAGAACAATGTCTGCCATTTGACATATATGTGCTCCGACTTTGAATGCAATGTCGATATGTTTTAATTATTTTTCTATGACACTAGTATAACAAGTATCCGATTTTTTATCCATAGCTTTATTCCAGATTGTAAGAAAGTATTGGTTGTCAGTATGTAGCAATTTAATGGACAGATTCTTGCAACATTTGTATCAAACATACGTGGAAACCATTTCTTACAATAAAAGTTATAAACTGCCTCTTATACTGTGCTGCTGTTGTCGAGGAGAGAAAACAATTATAATAGAACCCAAAATACGTACAATTGCGCTCCCACATTAAGCTTACTAGGTTAAAGAGTCAAACCTGTAACAACTATTCAAAATTAGACTAAAGAAATGCGTGTAGTAATGACAGTAAATAGCCATCTTATTGGATTCATGGAGTGCCATTCTATTTGTATTCCGGGGCTCCCATACTCGCTTCCTAACAAATAGTTCTTAGGGAGCGAGTATGGGAGCCCCGG